GAGTATTCCGAACAAGATATTTTAGAAGTACATGAAGAATGGGTTTCTTATGCAGCAACTTTGATGAAAGAGTATGTGCAGGATTTCAGATTTTAAAATTATTGCTCGTATTCAATCTCGATGAATGGGTTGGCCTGTGTTACGTTCTTGTTTAATTAATAATTTTTCTCTCTTTGCAGAGATCAGTGACTGGTTCAATGGTTCAATGGACATTGAAGGAGCTGTTTTGAAGGAACCCGACCTTTTGACGAAGCTGCATGTTTCAAGGAACAAACTAATTGATTAAAGTCCTCTTTTGTTGAAGGATATGTTTTTGGAATGCATACTTTTGGACATCTTTGTTCCCATTAACTTATGAATGCCTTTTCATGTATTGTTGCATATACAATGAAGTATTATAACTGCAGCTAAACAAAGCTTGTATTGTTAGAAACATTAAAGTTTGTAGCTAAGTAAGACTGCAGCCATTTTGAACATTGTTGGCTGTTTTTTGCTTTGACTTGTCCTTCGGAATACTCATTTGAATGTAGTGGGATGCAATGAATTACTCGTTAAACATTTGAAATGTGAATGAAACATTCAAATATATTATTATAATATATAAATATAAAAAACAATCTAACAATTGGATGCATATATATGAGGGCTGAATGAATGATACTACAGTGTCTCTAAACGGCATGATATAAATAAATCATTGAGATGTATGATGCTATCTTGTCATCACAATTTTTGACACGTTTGCGTTTTGAAATATTTTGTTACAAAAGTATCATCAATGCCTATGACACATGAGTGTTTAAATGTTTTTGTTACAAATCTATCATCATATTTTGTAACACTAAAATATCAGAAATCTGTGACACTTTTTCTATGACACTAAATTTAGTGTCAAAATTCCCGACCTTCTATGACACTTTTCTAGTGTCAGTAAAACATTATGTGACACTTATTTAGTGTCACTACAGACCAGTTTTCTAGTAGTGAAGTATGGTAAGCTTTTGACCGCTATTGAGGAGGCCAAGGACCTGGAAGTATACACCTTTGAGGAATTGAAAGGATCTCTTCAAGCCTATGAAGAGAGGTAATATTGATTGTGATAAGGTTGAAGAGCAAGCCTTTCAAGTTAAAGGGGAGGCATTTAGAGACAAAGCATCCCAATTTCCAAGCAGGGGGAGATGGACAGGAAGAGGAGGACATAGGGGAAGATACAGACGCAGAGGTAGAGGAAGAAACCAAACCAATGGAGGAAGGCAGTCACTTTACACCAACAACTCTAAAAGCCCATTTAAATGTTACTACTGTAACAAGCGGTCATAAGGAAGCTCAATGTTGGAAAAAAGATGAAGATAAGGAGCATGGGAAGACTAAACAGAAATCTAACTATGCCGAACAAGAAATCTAAGAATTTGATGCGATCATATCTTGCTCTATGTTGTGCCGTTGAAAGCGTTTAATATCTCGTTGGAAAGATCTTACCGAGTTCTAAAACTTGTCTTCAGGGGATGATTTCAAAATATCAAGGGATGATTTCCTAATTACTAAAATACACTGTATTTACGCTAAAAGTGCTCTATTTTTTATGAAAACGCTAAATCATAGAGATAAGGCTAAGTATTTGTGACACTCATATCTTGCTGTGTGTTTATCCGTTTGGATCGTATTATATCTCTTTTGGAAGATAGATCGGAGCTCTAAAGCTATTATTCCAACTTCATTTACAATGCATTAATTAGAAGTTACAGATTAACCATATATTCACAAATTTTTATGATTTCACCCCGAACTCGTGTAGAATTTGATGCGATCATGTCTTGCTCTATGTTGTGCCGTTGAAAGCGTTTAATATCTCGTTGGAAAGATCTTACCGAGTTCTAAAACTTGTCTTCAGGGGATGATTTCAAAATATCAAGGGATGATTGCCTAATTACTAAAATACACTGTATTTACGCTAAAAGTGCTCTATTTTTTATGAAAACGCTAAATCATAGAGATAAGGCTAAGTATTTGTGACACTCATATCTTGCTGTGTGTTTATCCGTTTAGATCGTATTATATCTCGTTGGAAAGATAGATCGGAGCTCTAAAGCTAATGTTCCAACTTAATTTACAATGCATTAATAAAAAGTTACAGAATAACCATATATTCACAAATGTTTCTGATTTCACTCCGAACTCGTGTAGAATTTGATGCGATCATATCTTGCTCTATTTTGTGCCGTTGAAAGCGTTTAACATCTCGTTGGAAACATCTTACCGTGTTCTAAAACTTGTCTTCAGGCGCTGGTTTCAAGGGATGACTTCCTAATTACTAAAATACACTGTATTTATGCTAAAAGTGCTCTATTTTCACTGAAAACGCTAAATCATAGAGATAAGGCTAAGTATTTGTGACACTCATATCTTGCTGTGTGTTTATCGGTTTGGAGCGTATTATATCTCTTTTGGAAGATAGATCGGAGCTCTAAAGCTATTATTCCAACTTCATTTACAATGCATTAATTAGAAGTTACAGATTAACCATATATTCACAAATGTTTCTGATTTCACTCCGAGCTCGTGTAGAATTTGATGCGATCATATCTTGCTCTATTTTGTGCCGTTGAAAGCGTTTAATACCTCGTTGGAAAGATATTACCGAGTTCTAAAACTTGTCTTCCGGAGCGGGTTTCAAAATATCAAGGGATGATTGCCTAATTACTAAAATACACTGTATTTACGCTAAAAGTGATCTATTTTTGCTGAAAACGCTAAATCGTAGAGATAAGGCAAAGTATTTGTGACACTCATATCTTGCTGTGTGTTTATCCGTTTGGAACGTAATATATCTCGTTGGAAGGATAGATCGGAGCTCTAAATTTATTGTTACAACTTCATTTACAATGCATTAATTAAAAGTTACATATTAACCATATATTCACAAATGTTTCTGATTTCACTCCGAACTCGTGTAGAATTTGATGCGATCATATCTTGCTCTATTTTGTGCCGTTGAAAGCGTTTAATATCTTGTTTGAAAGATCTTACCGATTTATAAAACTTGTCTTCAGGCGCTGGTTTCAAAATATCAAGGGATTATTTCCTACTTATTAAAATACACTGTATTTACGCTAAAACTGCTCTATTTTACCTGAAAACGCTAAATCATAGAGATAAGGCTAAGTATTTGTGACACTCATATCCTGCTGTGTGTTTATCCGTTTGGGGCGTATTATATCTCGTTTGAAAGATAGATCGGAGCTCTAAAGCTATTGTTCCAACTTCATTTACAATGCATTAATTAAAGGTTACAGATTAACCATATATTTACAAATGTTTCTGATTTTACTCTGAACTCGTGTAGAATTTGATGCGATCATATCTCGCTCTATTTTGTGCCGTTGAAAGTGTTTAATATCTAGTTGGAAAGATCTTACCGAGTTCTAAAACTTGTCTTCAGGAGCGGGTTTCAAAATATCAAGGGATGATTGCCTAATTTTCAAAATACACTGTATTTACGCTAAAAGTGCTCTATTTTCGCTGAAAACGCTAAATCATAGAGATAAAGCTAAGTATTTGTGACACTCATATCTTGCTGTGTGTTTATCCATTTGGAGCGTATTATATCTCGTTGGAAAGATAGATCGGAGCTCTAAAGCTATCGTTCCAACTTCATTAACAATGCATCAATTAAAAGTTACAGATTAACGATATATTCACAAATGTTTCTGATTTCACTCCGAACTCGTGTAGAATTTTATGCGATCATATCTTGATCTATTTTGTGCCGTTGAAAACGTCTAATATCTCGTTGGAAAGATCTTACCGAGTTCTAAAACTTGTCTTCAGGCCCTGGTTTTAAAATATCAAGGGATGATTGCCTAATTACTAAAATACACTGTATTTACGCTAAAAGTGCTCTATTTTCGCTGAAAACGCTAAATCATAGAGATAAGGCTACGTATTTGTGACACTCATATCTTGCTGTGTGTTTATCCGCTTGGAGCGTATTATATATCGTTGCAAAGATAGATCGGAGCTCTATAGCTATTGTTCCAACTTCATTTACAATGCATTAATTAAAAGTTACAGATTAACAATATATTCACAAATGTTTCGTGAGAAATATAGTCCCAAATACTTAGCCTTATTTCTTTGATTTAGCGTTTTCAGCAAAAATAGAGCAATTTTAGCGTAAATACAGTGTATTTTAGTAATCAGGCAATCATCCCTTGATTTTAGCAAGATATGATCGCATCAAATTGAGCAAGATATGATCGCATCAAATGCTACACGAGTTCGGAGCTCAAATTCTACTCAAATTGAGCAAGAAATATTTATGAATATATGGTTAATCTATAACTTTTAATTAATGCATTGTAAATGAAGGTTGAACAATATCCTTATAGCTACGATCTATCTTTCCAACGAGATATAATACGCTCCAAATGGATAAACACACAGAAAGATATGAGTGTCACAAATACTTAGCCTTATCTCTATGATTTAGCGTTTTCAGCGAAAATACAGCACTTTTAGCGTAAATACAGTGTATTTTGAAAATTAGGCAATCATCCCTTGATATTTTGAAACCAGTTCCTGAAGACAAGTTTTAGAACTCGGTAAGATCTTTCCAACGAGATATTAGACGTTTTCAACGGCACAAAATAGATCAAGATATGATCGCATAAAATTCTACACGAGTTCGGAGTGAAATCAGAAACATTTGTGAATATATCGTTAATCTGTAACTTTTAATTGATGCATTGTTAATGAAGTTGGAACGATAGCTTTAGAGCTCCAATCTATCTTTCCAACGAGATATAATACGCTCCAAATGGATAAACACACAGCAAGATATGAGTGTCACAAATACTTAGCCTTATCTCTATGATTTAGCGTTTTCAGCGAAAATAGAGCACTTTTAGCGTAAATACAGTGTATTTTGAACATTAGGCAATCATTCCTTGCTTGGATAAGATTTCTTGGACCTATTGCAGCAAAACTCAGTCCTTTTATTTCGAAGTCTCAATTACTGTTCAGGTCGCGTTCGTGTTCTGCGTGGGGGTTTTAGTCAAGCGTTTTTTTCAGGTTTTTGTTCGCAGCTTTGAAGTCTGGTTGGGGCGTTACTGGTCCAGACGCTCTCCTCTAATCATCTCATCTGCGGGTTAAGACTCCATCTTAACTCCGGGAGTGTATGAGGTTACTATAAAGCTGCTGCTATGTCGAAGAAGAAACAACAGGGGACAGGGGCTTCTTCCAAGGGGAGTATGACCCGTTCAAGGTATGCGGTGTTGGAGGATTTTGAGGAGGAGTTCCCAGCCCTATTGGCTGGAATCCCGTTGAGCAAGCCAAAGAAATTTGTGGCAGACTTGGTTTCTGGGGCAGATTGTGTTTCGGTTGATTTAAAGGCCACAGTTGGGAAAACAAAAGTCCTTGCTCTGGACAGGGGTGCTGCTGCTGGGAATGAGAACCCTGCAGCTAGAGAAATGCCTGCTGCTAAAGAACCTGCTGCTAATAAAGAACCTGCTGCTAGGAACAAAACCAGTGCTCAGGAGGATGCTACTGCTACAGTAGGGCTGAAGGCAGTATCTTTGGCTGATCCAGTGCAGGTAAACACACCAACTTCAGAAGCTGAACAGATTACTATAACAGGAGGAAAAATTGCTGATGTGGAAAGAAAACCATGGAACGGTCTATTTAAGGACAACCGAGCCCCAACGCACGGCCTTAAATTGAAATATGTCCCACCCAAAGAAAAAGGACTAGACTTTGCTGATAGGATCTTTCCCTCTATGATCGAGATTTGGGGTCACTGTCTTGTTGGATTTTTCACCGGTAGTTTCCCCGGATTGAAAGCGATTTACGAACTCAAAAATGAATGGGGTGTGAAGTGCCTTGTTAGGTCTTGTAAAAGTATTATTGTATCTAGGAATATGTTTTAGGAATATGCTCTAGAATATGCTTTAGGAATATACTCTAGACATTATTATTGTATAGCATCTTATATAGGAATATTCCATCTTTGTAATATATATATATAGGGCCTTAACCCTCTAATGAAAAAACACAGAAAATCCTTCTCTCCATCTTTAATAGCATTGTAGTTTATATTTCAACATGGTATCAGAGCCTTCCATTTTAGTTTAGTTTTTCATATTTCAGTTTAATTTTCAGACTGGATTCTTCCTTCAAGGAACTTGAGTTCAGTTTTATCAGATTCTTCATAACCTCTAGGCACCATTCTAATTTCCCAGAAAATCAATTAGCCTGAGCTAATTTCCTAGAAAATTCCTTAGCATACAGTCTGCCCCACCAGACCTAAGAAATTCTCAGACCACACATTTCATCACCACCGTACCCAGGTGGTGCGGCTACCTTCGACGACCCAGAAACCAAAGTCCGACACCCAAACTCTACGCGACTGAGACGTACGCGCTGCCACAGCCCGCTGACCTCAACTCACGTGCTGGCACGTGACGTCATTCTGCGGCCAGATTTCGGATCGGAAAATGCCATCCAGCTCGCCTGCATATCGCCTATCTTCTGCTGTAGCTTCTCTTTGGGATGGTTGCGTTTCTTTCCAGCTCTTCAGTACGCTGACATCGAAAAGAGATCGTCCAGGCTACGCGGAAATCTTTTCTTCCTTCCAGGCTTCGTAACGGACATACGCACGCTCCTTTGTCTGGCTGTTCTTCTTTGAGGTCTGGCACTCTAGCATCGACCCTCCGTCTGGATTAGCAGTCAAAGCCCAAACAGTTGGATCTTTTACTCTCCAGGTTGAGTCCACAAATGGGCTGCTCAGTCAAAGCCCAACTTTATTCTCCAAGGTCGAGTCCACAAATGGGCTGCTGTAAGTTCTCATTGGATATCTCAATTTTGAACTTAGTTACATTCTCATAAAAAAAAACAAAAAAAAACAAAAAAAAAATAAAAAAAAAAGAAATTAAAAAAAAAATGTCTTGTACGAGTGGATTTGACAGAGGAGTAATATGCAATTACTGTAAGAAGCCCGGACACTTGATCAAAGAATGTAGAAAATTGCTGTTCAAAAATCAAGGAAATCAGCTTGCTCATGTTGCTTCCGCTACCAGTTCATCCGATGGATCAATTGCTATTTCTTCAGACGAGTATGCCAAATTTATTTGCTACCAAGAAACTCTAAAGCATTCCTCTGTCCCTATCTCGGTAACCGCTAATTCAGGTATTTCAAACACGTGTCTTGTTTCCTCATCCTCGAAATGGGTCATTGACTCAGGTGCCACAGATCATATGACCGGTAATCCTAGTCTATTCTCGTCATTTCATTCATATTTACCTACTTCTAGTGTCACTTTAGCTGATGGATCTACCTCACCCGTTCTTGGATCTGGTACTGTTGTTCCAACTTCTACATTACCATTATCGCCTGTTTTGAGTCTTCCTAATTTTGCATTTAATCTGCTTTCCATCAGTAAAATCACTCGTACTCTTAACTGTTCTGTAACATTTTTTCCGGGATATTGTGTGTTTCAAGATCTGTTAACGATGCAGATTATTGGTAAAGGACATGAGTCAGCCGGTCTATATATTTTGGATACATCCATCACCAAAGGTATCTCTTATCTTGGGGTTGGGACTTTGTTAGATGCTCATTACCGATTAGGACATCCATCTCTCCCATTAATGAAGCAAATAAATCCCCAATTTAATAAGATGACCTCTTTACAATGTGAGTCATGTCAATTTGCGAAACACCATCGTACTAGCTTAGGCCCGCGAGTTAATAAACGAGCAAATGCTCCATTTGACCTTGTTCACTCTGATGTTTGGGGTGCTTGCCCGGTTGTGTCTAAAGCTGGTTTTAAATATTTTGTTACCTTTGTTGACGACTATTCTCGTATGACATGGTTGTATTTCATGAAACGTCGATCTGAGTTGTTCACTCATTTTTCTTCCTTTTGTGCTGAAATTAAAACTCAGTTTAACGTTCCTGTTCGGGTGTTAAGAGGAGACAATGCTCAAGAATATCTATCTGCTACATTTAAGTCATTTATGCTTCAACATGGCATTATTCATCAAACTTCATGCGTTGATACACCTCCTCAAAATGGAGTTGCGGAACGAAAGAACCGACATCTGTTAGAAACTGCAAGGGCTCTTCTATTCCAAATGAATGTGCCTAAACAGTTTTGGGCAGATGCCGTGTCTACTGCATGTTTTTTGATAAATCGAATGCCATCTTCTGTTTTGAATGGTAAAGCTCCTTATCATTGTCTATTTCCAAACAGAGAGCTTTTTCCTATCCCACCTAAAATATTTGGTTGCACTTGTTTTGTTAGAGATGTTAATCCTCATCTAACAAAGTTAGATCCGAAATCATTAAAATGTATTTTCTTGGGTTATTCTCGAGTCCAAAAGGGGTATAGATGTTTTTGTCCGAGTACTGGTCGGTATCTTGTTTCTATTGATGCATCATTTCATGAAAATACACCTTTTTCATCATCTAAGGCAGATATTCGTGAGAGTAATGATGATATTCTCATTTACACGATGACTATTCCTGAGTCCACACTTTCGACAAATATTCCACAAGTTACTGTTCATGACCCTAGGCCTCCCGTACATTTGGTATACACCCGTCGACACAAAGCACCTGATCACCCTCCACCGGCGATACCTGAGATTACTTTTCTTGATACTAGTTCGACTCCGATCTCATGTCCTGAACCAGTATCTGCATCTTCAGATCTTGTTTCCACATCAGATCTTGATCTCCCAATAGCAGTACGTAAAGGTACACGGTCTTGTACTCATCCTATTTCTTCATTTGTGTCGTACAATCAGTTATCTCCTGCTTCATGTTCTTTTATTGCTTCCATTGATTCTATTTCTGTTCCCAAATCTGTCAAAGAAGCTCTATCTCATCCTGAATGGCGTCAAGCCATGGTAGAGGAAATGAATGCTTTAGATCTTAATGGTACATGGGATTTGGTTGACTTACCTACAGGGAAGAAATCTATTGGATGTAAGTGGGTCTTTGCTGTTAAGGTTAACCCAGACGAATCCGTTGCTCGGTTGAAAGCCCGATTAGTTGCGAAGGGTTATGCTCAAACCTATGGTGTTGATTATTCTGACACTTTTTCTCCTGTTGCTAAATTAACATCTGTCAGGTTACTTATCTCACTCGCTGCAATTCATGATTGGCACTTACATCAATTGGACATTAAAAATGCATTTTTGAATGGTGACCTTAAGGAAGAAGTCTATATTGAGCAACCTCCGAGATTTGTTGCTCAGGGGGAGTATGGTAAAGTTTGTCGACTTCGCAAATCTCTTTATGGTCTGAAACAGAGTCCTCGTGCATGGTTTGGGATATTCAGTCAATCAATTGAACAATTTGGAATGATAAAAGGCAAATCAGACCACTCTGTATTTTACAAACAAACAGAATCAGGTGTCACATTGCTTGTGGTATATGTTGATGATATTGTGATTACAGGGAGTGATAATGCAGGTATTTTGGCCCTTAAGAATTTTCTGCATAGTCAATTCCAGACGAAAGATCTTGGCTCTTTGAAATACTTTCTGGGAATTGAGGTAACACGAAGTAAGAAAGGCATATTTCTATCTCAACGTAAATATGTACTTGACTTACTAGCTGAGACAGGGAAATTAGGGGCAAAACCAAGTACAACACCCATGGTTCCCAACGTGCAACTCACTCAAGAAGGCACACCGTTTGAAGACCCAGAAAGATATAGAAGACTGGTTGGAAAGCTTAATTATCTCGCAGTCACCCGTCCAGATATTGCTTATTCTGTGAGTGTAGTGAGTCAATACATGTCATCTCCGACCATTGATCATTGGGCTGCTGTAGAACACATATTATGTTACTTAAAGGGAGCACCAGGACGAGGTATTGTTTATCAAAACCATGATCACATGAGAATAGAATGCTTTGCACATGCTGATTGGGCCGGTTCTAAAGATGATCGAAGATCTACATCTGGCTATTGTGTCTTTGTTGGTGGTAATCTTGTATCCTGGAAGAGTAAGAAACAGAATGTGGTTTCTCGTTCTAGTGCTGAATCAGAATATCGAGCTATGGCACAATCCGCATGTGAGATAATATGGATACACCATTTATTGAATGAAATTGGATTGAAGACACCAATGCCTGCTCAGTTGTGGTGCGATAACCAAGCTGCTATACACATAGCAAACAACCCCGTATTTCACGAGAGAACAAAGCATATTGAGGTTGATTGCCATTTTATTCGAGAGAAGATACAAAAAGGATTAATCTCTACCGGGTATGTGAAGACTGGAGAACAACTTGGAGATTTATTCACTAAAGCTCTAAATGGGATTCGAGTTGATTACTTATGTAACAAGTTGGGCATGATAAATATCTATGCTCCAACTTGAGGGGGAGTGTAAAAGTATTATTGTATCTAGGAATATGTTTTAGGAATATGCTCTAGAATATGCTTTAGGAATATACTCTAGACATTATTATTGTATAGCATCTTATATAGGAATATTCCATCTTCGTAATATATATATATAGGGCCTTAACCCTCTAATAAAAAAACACAGAAAATCCTTCTCTCCATCTTTAATAGCATTGTAGTTTATATTTCAACAGGTCTCATAAAAAGGGTTGGGTTATATTCAAGTTTCAATGTGAACATGATAGGACTAAAGTGTTGAATGGAGGACCGTACTCCATTTTTGGGAAATTATTATTCCTTAAAGTACTATCCGATGATTTCTCTTTTGATGATGAAGAATTTCTAAAGGTGCCGATTTGGGTTAAATTCCCTAATCTACCCTTAAAGCTATGGAATGAGGAGGCAATGAGTGAAGTGGCGTCTATGGTTGGTGTCCCACTAACTACGGACAAGGTCACTCAAGAAAAGAGCAACCACAACTTTGCTAGAGTGCTTATTGAAGTGGATGTTTCCAAGCCACCACAATTATCATTTCCTATACGACTACCTTCTCGTAAGGTATTCAAACAACATGTGGTTTACGAGACATTTCCTAGTTTTTTTTTTCATTGCAAAGAGTATGGACACCATCCTTTTATTTGCAAATTTCTGGCTGAGAAGGAGCTGAGTACATCTGAACTTTCCAAAGTTGATGCACTGGAGAAAACTCCCAAAGATGGGGTGCTTTTGTTTACCGTTTTTGAGAACACTGAGTCAAAAAAGGTGCAGCTAGAACCTCCTCCTGCTACTGTTTTGTCTGCCGTGGAACCAGCTGCTCCAGAAGCGCCTCCTGCTGCATATGCTACGTTTGAAGTTGCTGCACAAAAATTTCAACCTGCTGCTGCATTGTCTGATGCATTTGAAGTTGCTACACCAGAATCTGCTGCCACGCTTGAGTTTGCTGCACAAAAACCTGCTGATACGCATAAGTCTGCTGCATTTGCTTTGTCTGCTGCTGCTGCGTTTGAAACGGGGTCAGCCCCAAACCAGACCGGGTTAGAGAAACAGACTGTTTCGCAGGGGTCTGCAGCCAATGTTTTGGACGTGCAAAGTGTCCAAGGGCTCTCTGAAAACGTGCCAAAGGTGCAACCTGCTGCTGCATTTGAAGAACCTGCTACTGCATTTGAAGAGGTAGCTGCTGCTGTTCCTAATCAGGTGCAACCTGCTGCTGCTGCTGCATTTAAAGCTGCTGGAGCTACTGGAATGGGAGTTACCCCGGCACAGGTCGATGAAATAGAAGCTGTTGCTACTATCGCACCGGACCTGCTGATGCAACCTCCCAAACCACTTGGCAGCTACACTTTAAGAGTCCGTGTGGGTAAGGATGGGAAGAAAAGGCTGTTTAGAAATGATGTTGAGATTAGTAATGATGTACTGAAATGAACATGATAACTTTGATTTAGTTTTTCTTTATCTCGGGGCTTGTCCCGATATCTACTAGTTTGATGGTTTGGGATGTTTATATCTAGGTCAGTTTATCCTAGCCTAGGTAGTTAGTTTTGATTTCTTAGACGCATTGTATTATGCTATTTTTGGGTGTTAATACAATTACCTTTCATCCAAAAAAAAATTGAAACCAGCGCCTGAATAAATGTTTTAGAACTCGATAATATCTTTCCAACGAGATATTAAACGCTTTCAACGGCACAAAATAGAGCAAGATATGATCGCATCAAATTCTGCACCAGTTCGGAGTGAAATCAGAAACATTTATGAATATATGGTTAATTTGTAACTTTTAATTAATGCATTGTAAATGAAGTTGGAACAATAGCTTTAGAGCTCCGATCTATCTTTCCCACGAGATATAATACGCTCCAAACGGATAAACACACAGCAAGATATGAGTGTCACAAATAATTAGCCTTATCTCTATGATTTCGCGTTTTCAGCGAAAATAGAGCACGTTTAGCGTAAATACAGTGTATTTTAGTAATTTGGCAATCATCCCATGATATTTTGAAACCAGCGCCTGAAGACAAGTTTTAGAACTCGGTAAGATGTTTCCAACGAGATATAAAACGCTTTCCACGGCATAAAATAGAGCAAGATATGATCGCATCAAATTCTACACGAGTTCGGAGTGAAATCAGAAACATTTGTGAATATATGGTTAATCTGTAACTTTTAATTAATGCATTGTAAATGAAGTTGGAACAATAGCTTTAGATCTCCGATCTATCTTTCCAACGAGATATAATACGCTCCAAACGGATAAACACACAGCAAGATATGAGTGTCACAAATACTTAGCCTTATCTCTATGATTTAGCGTTTTCAGCGAAAATAGAGCACTTTTAGCGTAAATACTGTGTATTTTAGTAATTAGGCAATCATACCTTGACATTTTGAAACCAGCGCCTGAATAAATGTTTTAGAACTCGATAATATCTTTCCAACGAGATATTAAACGCTTTCAACGGCACAAAATAGAGCAAGATATGATCGCATCAAATTCTACACCAGTTCGGAGTGAAATCAGAAAAAATTGTCAATATATGGTTAATCTGTAACTTTTAATTAATGAATTGTAAATGAAGTTGAAACAATAGCTTTAGAGCTCCGATCTATCTATCCAAAAAGATATAATACACTCCAAACGGTGAAAAACACAGCAAGATATGAGTGTCACAAATAATTAGCCTTGTCTCTATGATTTAGCGTTTTCAGCGAAAATAGAGGACTTTTAGCATAAATACAGTGTATTTTAGTAATTTGGCAATCATCCCCTGATAGTTTGAAACCAGCGCCTGAAGACAAGTTTTAGAAAACGGTAAGATGTTTTCAACGAGATGTTAAACGCTATCAACGGCACAAAATAGAGCAAGATATGATCGCATCAAATTCTACACGAGTTCGGAGTGAAATCAGAAACATTTGTGAATATATGGTTATTCTGTAACTTTTTATTAATGCATTGTAAATTAAGTTGGAACATTAGCTTTAGAGCTCCGATCTATCTTTCCAACGAGATATAATACGATCCAAACGGATAAACACACAGCAAGATATGAGTTTCACAAATACTTAGCCTTATCTCTATGATTTAGCGTTTTCATAAAAAATAGAGCACTTTTAGCGTAAATACAGTGTATTTTAGTAATTAGGCAATCATCCCTTGATATTTTGAAATCATCCCCTGAAGACAAGTTTTAGAACTCGGTAAGATCTTTCAAACGAGATATTAAACGCTTTCAACGTCACAACATAGAGCAAGATATGATCGCATCAAATTCTACAAGAGTTCGGGGTGAAATCAGAAACATTTGTGAATATATGGTTAATCTGTAACTTTTACTTAATGCATTGCAAACGAAGTTGGAACAATAGCTTTAGAGCTCCGATATATCTTTCCAAGGAGATATAATACGCTCAAAACGGATAAACACAAAGCAAGATATGAGTGTCACAAATACTTAGCCTTATCTCTATGATTTAGCGTTTCCAGCAAAAATAGAGCACTTTTAGCGTAAATACAATGTATTTTAGTAATTAGGCAATCATCCCTTGATATGTTGAAACCCGCGCCTGAAGACATGTTTTAGAACTCGATAAGATCTTTCCAACGAGATACTAAACGCTATCAACAGCACAAAATAGAGCAAGATATGATCGCATCAATTTCTACACGAGTTCAGAGTGAAATCAGAAACATTTGTGAATATATGGTTAATCTGTAACTTTTAATTAATGCATTGTAAATGAAATTGTAGCAATAGATTTAGAGCTCGGATCTATCTTTCCAACGAGATATATTACGCTCCAAGCGGATAAACACAGAGCAAGATATGAGTGCACAAATACTTAGCCTTATCTCTATGATTTAGCGTTTTCAGCAAAAATAGATCACTTTTAGCATAAATACAGTGTATTTTAGTAATTAGGCAATCATCCCTTGATATTTTGAAACCCGCTCCGGAAGACAAGTTTTAGAACTCGGTAATATCTTTCCAACGAGGTATTAAACGCTTTCAACGGCACAAAATAGAGCAAGATATGATCGCATCAAATTCTACACGAGCTCGGAGTGAAATCAGAAACATTTGTGAATATATGGTTAATCTGTAACTTCTAATTAATGCATTGTAAATGAAGTTGGAATAATAGCTTTAGAGCTCCGATCTATCTTCCAAAAGAGATATAATACGCTCCAAACCGATAAACACACAGCAAGATATGAGTGTCACAAATACTTAGCCTTATCTCTATGATTTAGCGTTTTCAGTGAAAATAGAGCACTTTTAGCATAAATACAGTGTATTTTAGTAATTAGGAAGTCATCCCTTGATATTTTGAAACCAGCGCCTGAAGACAAGTTTTAGAACTCGGTATGATCTTTCCAAAGAGATATTGAACGCTTTCAACGGCACAAAATAGAGCAAGATATGATCGCATCAAATTCTACACGAGTTCGGAGTGCAATCAGAAATATTTGTGAATATATGGTTAATCTGTAACTTTTAATTAATGCATTGTTAATGAAGTTGGAACAATAGATTTAGACCTCCGATCTATCTTTCCAACGAGATATAATACGCTCCAAACGGATAAACACACAGCAAGATATGAGTGTCACAAATACTTAGCCTTATCTCTATCATTTAGCGTTTTCAGCGAAAATATAGCACTGTTAGCGTAAATACAGTGTATTTTAGTAATTAGGCAATCATCCATTGATATATTGAAACCAGATCCTGAAGACAAGTTTTAGAACTCGGTAAGATATTTCCAACGAGATATTAAACGCTTTTAACGGCACGAAATAGAGCAAGATATGATCGCATCAAATTCTACACGAGTTCGGAGTGAAATCAGAAACATTTGTGAATATATGGGTAATCTGTAACTTTTAATTCATTCATTGTAAATGAAGTTGGAACAAAAGCTTTATAGCTCCGATCTATCTTTCCAACGAGATATAATACGCTCCAAATGGATAAACACACAGCAAGATATGAGTGACACAAATACTTAGCCTTATCTCTACGATTTAGCGTTTTCAGCGAAAATAGAGCACTTTTAGCGTATTTACAGTGTATTTTAGTAATTAGGCAATCATCCCTTGATATTTTGAAACCAGCGCCTGAAGACATGTTTTAGAAATCGGTAAGATCTTTCCATCGAGATATTAAACGTTTTCAACGGCACAAAATAGAGTAAGATATGATTGCATAAAATTCTACACGAGTTCAGAGTGAAATCAGAAAGATTTGTGAATATATGGTTAATCAGTAACTTTTAATTAATTCATTGTAAATGAAGTTGGAACAATAGCTTTAGAGCTCCGATCTATCTTTCCAACGAGATATAATACGCTCCAAACGGATAAACACACAGCAAGATATGAGTGTCACAAATACTTAGGCTTATCTCTATGATTTAGCGTTTTCAGCGAAAATAGAGAACTTTTAGCGTAAATACGGTGTATTTCAGTAATAAGGCAATCATCCCTTGATACTTTGAAACCCGCGCCTGAAGAGAAGTTTTAGAACTCGGTAAGATCTTTCCAACGAGATATTAAACGCTTTCAACGGCACAAAATAGAGCAT